CCGACAGCACCTCGCAACAACAATTCAATCCATCACTGAAGGGCCAACGCCAATCCATACATGACAATCTGCAGCCGGACTACCCAGAAGACCACAGGTGCTATTATGACAAGATGGGACAACTTCCAAGGGGTTTATACAGGAAAACCAAGGTTCAGCTTTGGCAAGGGCCACATCACAAGTGACTTGAGTCACCTGGTTGCAGATATGCAGCAGGTCATTTGAACTGCAATCCAGAGAAGGAGGGTACAGTGTAGCTGAGGGTACAGTGGCTAAACACTGGACTGCTAACTGAAAAGTCAGTGGTTTGAACCTACCAGTGGCTCCAGGGAAGCGCACAACCTAGGAAACCCAATGTGGCAGGTCTCCTCTAACACACGGGCGATGGTGAGGCACCCAGTAACAACAAGTTCTGGAGAGAGGCGGGGGCTGGAGATATGGGTGCTGTGTGGTGCCCATAGTGCTTACAATGGAAGCTGCAGATGAACAAGGAGAGGAAGAGGCAGTTGGAATAGACGCATTCTGAGACCAAGGCTCTCAGGGACTTGACCCCTTGGGGCTCAGCACACTGAAGGCAGACAAGACCATCACCAACTGGGACTGCCAGGTGGTACTAGAAATGCAAAGTGTTCGTCACGTCACAAGGTTTTCCTGATGTGGGAACTCCATCCAACCCCCGCCCCCCGCCCCCCGCAATATCCCATTGATCTGGATGCACAGTGACCCTAAAGGCAGAGTAGAATCGTCCCAACAGTTTTCTGGTTGTAATCTGTATAGGAGCAAACTGCCTCATCTTTCTCCCTCCGAGCGGCTGATGTGTTCACACAGTTGACCTTTCAGTTAGAAGCTGAGCATTTCACAAATTCACCACCAGCATTCTCTGATGTACCAACAACAGCTCCCCTAGAAAGATTACTTACAGCCCTTCTCCAATTCCCAAACTACACGTTACCAACCATCTGAGAAACCCTTCACTGCTAACACTGTATCATGTATCACACTTCTCCACAACTGTGTGTTGTGTTGAAGGCTCTGAATACAGATGGATCATAAAACACATTACTCTCTGCACTGCCTGATTGTATTCCTATCGGGTATACCCATCCTTCTAGGCCTGCCATGTGCCAAGAAAAGGAACAAGAGAAACCCCTAAATTGTATTTAAAAAAACAAAACAACACTGCTGTTTTCAAAAACTTTGCCTCATGATTTCTAGTACCAGTTCACCCCATAGTAAAATCGTGACTGAGGTTGAGAAGAGAGGCAGAGAAGAAACTGGAAAATATAGTTGCTGATGTTGTTGTTGTTGTTGTGTGCCGTGGAGTTAGTTCTGACTCACAGAGACCCTGTACAGGTTTCCGAGGCTGTAAATCTTTACGGGAGCAGAAAGTCTCATCTCATCTTTCTCTGATGGAACAGCTGGGAGTTTCGAACTACTGACCTTACAGTTTGCAGCCCAATTCGTAACCACTACACTACCAGAGCTCCTTGTTGCAGATAGCACCTTCTTTATGCGATTTTCTGATGGGCACTTTCTGTTTCTCCTACATTCAGTAGGGTTACTATGGGTCAGAACCGACTCGAAGGCACTTAACAACAACAAGAACCACAGAGAGGAAGCAGGGCACCTGGTGATCCTGCGGGGAGGGGACTGCCATCATTGAGAGGAAACCAAGTGTCTGAGCTGTGGAATGTGAAACTGATGATCTTGTCTGTAAATCTTCAACCATAAAAAGTTTAAAAAAAAAGACAAATGTACACAAATATATACAGATCTGAGTCCTGGTGTGACGCTGTGGGTTAATGCGCCAGACTGCAAAGCCATCAAACTCACCAGCTGCTCCCCAGAAACCCTATACAGGGTCACTGTTGGTCGGAATCAACTCAACAGCACTTAACAACATACAGATCTGTGTGTGTGTGTGTGTGTATCTATCTCTGTGTGTGTGTGTGTATATACATGTATATATATACAAAAGAATTTTGAATACTATAATACCTTTGAGAAAATGAAGTCTTTAAACAGGAAGTTCTTATCCCTGGCACCTAACAGCTCTGGTCTCCTTGGGGTGCCCAGGAGCCCTCCATTAAGCATCCTCTGAAGCTTGTTGTTAAGTGCCATCGAGTTGATTCTGACTCATACGACCCTGTAGAGGGTTTCCGATGAGTAGCTGGTGGGTTTGAACTGCCGACCTTGCGCTTCACAGTCCAGGGCTTATCCTACAGCATCACACCAGGAGTCTGAAGCCAAGGTGAGTGGCAATGCCCGAAACACTCTTCCTGCCACACCTGTCAGCTCTCCTTTAAGCAAAAGTAGCCTTGGGACAGGGCTCAACTCCCCTTGAGGTTAATTACTCTTCCAGAACTCAAAGCCTGAACTCTTTTCTGGAAAGAACACACACTATGGTTGTTGTAAAGTGCTGTTGAGTTGGTTCCGACTGTATATCAAACTCTTCTCTCAGGTTCCATCTACAAGAGAGATTTTACTACCAGAATGAAGACATAGGAGCCCTGGTGGTGTCATGGGTTGAACACTGAGCTGCTAATCAAAGGTTAGTGGTTCAAATTCACCAGCCGATATGCAGGAGAAAGATGAGGTAGTCTGCTCCCATTAAGATTTACAGTCTCAGAACCCCGATGGGGGAAGCTCTTCTCAGCCCTGCGTACAGGTTCACTATGTGTCAGAAGCGGCAATGGGTTTGGTTTTTGCTTTTGCTATGTCAAGACTTTCAGGCTTTTTATATGCACATATGCATCTTAAAAATATGATTGATGCTTTTGCAAAGAATCCTTTATTATATTCATACTTCAGATTTTGAGACATCTACAACACAGTGATCTAATTCCTAATGATGGTGGTATTCCTAAAATGAATTCTCGGGTGGAAGCAGCAGCGACAACATCATCAGGGAACCTTGGGAACAAGTCGCCCTTGGAAACGCCTAGAGATGCCTTATGAACTGTGCTTCTTTTAAGAATGGCGAGGCTGGTCAGAATCTGGATCTGTGAAGGGCTAAGTGTTCATCATCACTTACATCTCTTTAAAACCCAGACAAAAGAGCCCTGGTGGTACAGAGGTTAGTTAAGCATCTGGCTGCTAACAGAAAGGTCAGCAGTTCGAACCCACCAGCTGCTCAGTGGGAGAAAACTGTGGCAGTTTGATCCCTAAAAGATTTACAGCCTAAGGAGCCCATATGGAGCAATTCTACTCTGTCCTGCAGGGTGGCTGTGAGTGAGAATTGACTCAGAGGCAATGGGTTTGGTGTTTGAAACCCAAGAGGAAGCAGACAAAGAAAAAGCTTGGAGAAAGGAAATGAAAAAACAAGTACATCTCTGTCTTTTTCATAACTCCAGCTTGATTCTAGAATCCCTTCCACACAGCTGTCTGCCCTGAAGCCTCTGGCCCATTCTTTCTTGCTCACAGCATCCAAGAAGCTGCAGTTCCAGTTCGAATGGTAATGACTTTGAAGTGCACAGCTGGAATCTCAGCAGATGGGGTGGCCTCCCCTGGGGACGATGGCTGCTGTATCTCTCCTTTGAAGGCTTTTAATCCACTTGCAGTACAATCACCAGGCCTCCGGTCCCAGGAAATCACCCTGGGGTGGCATTCTCTCAGCTGACAGGGGCTCTTCTAGGCCTAGACAAGAAGACACTTGGAGGAGCGGGTCTATTTTCAACATGGTCTGGCTCATTTTGAGAAACCTAGTCAATTGCTCCCCGTGTTTAAATACATTACAGATGAGCCTTTACAGGTAATCACAGGTGGCGAAAATGAGTCCCAGCAGCTCATAACCTGTATCTAGTTGGCTTCAGGTAACACAGTTTAAGACAAAAGAGCCACAGCATGGCATCGAGCTGATTCTGACTCCAAGCAACTCAACAGGGCACAGTACAACTGATCCATAGGGTTTCCAAGGCTGCAAATCTTTAAGGAAGCAAACAGCCTCATCTTTCTCCCAAAGAGTGGCTGCCGGGTTTGAACTGCCAAGCTTTCAGTTAACAGCCAAGCACCTAACACACAATGCCACCAGGGCTCCTAGCACAATGTTGTTTTTGTTGTTGCTAATTGCCACCGAGTCAGTTCCAATGCATAGACACCTTGCATAGGGTTTCCAGGAGCGGCTGGTAGATTTGAACCACTGACCTCGTGGTTCAAATCGACCTTGTGATCCAGTGCTTATCTTAACCCTTGTATTGGATCCTTGACTTCTTACCTAGAACCGAGGGAGCAGGGCTCCTGGAATTGGTACTTGGATAAGCCATGCTTTTCGTGGTAGGAGTTACCTGTTTCCATCGCTTTCTGACACATTAACTGCCTGTCATGAAAGCTGCTGCAAAAGATTCTTTAAAGTATTAAAAAAGCAAAGATGCCGTTCCACCTCAAAGACCAAGGTGTGCCTGATGCAAGTTATGCTATTTTCAATCAACTCGTAGGCCTGGTAAAGCTCGACAATGAAGAAGGAAGACTGAAGACGAATGGGTGTCTTTGAATGATGGTACTGGCAAACAATATTGATTCTACCATAGGCTGCCAGAAGAATAAACAAATCTCTCTTGAAAGAAGTACAGTCAGAAAACTCCTTAGAAGCCAGGATGGCTAGATTTCATCTCATGTACTTTGGTCATATTATCAGGAGGGACCAGTCCCTGGAGAAGGACATCATGCTTGGTAGAGGGTCAGTGAAAAATAGGAGGACCCCCAACGAGATGGATTGGTACAGTAGCTGCAACAGTGGGCTCACACCTAACAACAATTCTGAGGCTAGCACAAGACTGAGTAGTGTTTCGTTCTATTGTGCACAGTGCAGCTGACTTTAAGGACCAACTAACAAGGAGAGAATGAGAGTGCCAAATTGGCTATGTCTCGTCAGTAGACGCTTTTTCAAAATCCCAACTATGGCAGGTAAAGTAGTTGATCCGGATTCGTAGCTTATAGTGCAAAGAAAATGCATACAGTTGCATTGCCTGGTAAACTCTTCCTCACTCTGCCCGCCTACTTACGGTTGGTCCTGCAGGGCTCAGTCTGGGCGCTGTCCACGGACTGGGTGCTGGAGACAGAGGACACACTGGAGCTCCGGACGAAGCCAAATGCCGCCAGCTTGGCAGCTGGGAGACGTGAGTAGCCCGGAGGGCGCAGTCCAGATTTGGGGAGGCTGGGTTTTGTAGCACTAGAACCGGAGGTTTTCTTTAAATCTGCTGAAATGAATCGAAACAAACAAGAAAAGAATCATTCATCACTGACAGGCAAGACAGACAATGCTACTCCAAGAAGTCTGTGGAAAAATGAAATGAGAATGAAAGTTTCCCATGAACTCACTGAAGCCTCCTCATATTCTGAATACTAACCCAGTTCTACTATGTTGTGTTGTTGTTGTTGTACACCCCAACTCAGTTCTGACTCACGGCAACCCCATGTGTGCAGAGTAGAACTACCCTACAGGGTTGTTACGACATTGACCTTTCGGAAGCTCATCACCAGGCCTGTCCTCTGAGGCACTGCTGGGTGGAATGCAACCTTCAACCTTTTGGTTAGCAGCCAAGCGCTTAACAGTTTGTGCCATCAAACCAAAATAATTATGTATCTACCTTAATTTTGGTTTGGTGGCATAAACGGTTTATACGTTTATATAAATTCACTGCCATCAGGTCGATTCATAGCAACCCTATAGGACAGGGCAGAACTGCCCCCGTAGGGTTTCTGAGCTGCAGATCTTTATGGGAGCAGATGGTTTCATCTTTTTGCAATGCAGCTAGTGGGTTGCATCCAGTTACCTTGCAGTTAGCAGCCCAATGCTTAGCCCAATGATCCACCGAGTCTCCTTAATTCTTCCATGAGCAGATCCAAATGAATCTTTCAGGGTTTGATTCAGCACATTCCCAAGGAAATCTCTGTGAGAGCAGCCTCTCAGCACAGGTCAGCTCTTTCAGAGAACTCAAGAGGAGGGCTGGTCCCTCTCTCCATCTCCAGGCAGAGGAGACAAGAATGCACAGAGAAACCCATGAGAAGGTGACACAGAAAAGTGGTTGAAAAGAAGTTGAGTGGAAAGAGCATTCATTGTGGTAAGTTACGCCAGACTTCTGAAATTGAGCTATGTCTGAAAATATGACACACAGTGGGCAGAAGACCCCTGGGAATGTAGTCATTAGTGGCTATAACCAGTATGTAATGACTCGAGGAGTCCCTGGGTGGTACAATGCACCTGGATGCTAGCCAAATGTCAGAGGTTGGAGACTACCTAGAGACACCTCGGAAGAAAAACTTGGCAATCTACTTCCAAAACTTCAGCCGTGGTAAACCCTTTGGAGCACAGTTCTACTCTGACATGCATGGAATCACTAGGAGTTGAGGCTGATTCAACGATGTCTGCTCATAGATCTTATAGAAGCAGGTACAGAGATCATCTCAATTACTTTTTGCTGGTTTCAGGGATGAGGTGGGAAGGGCTCAGATAGTGGAGGTTTAAGTTTGGGCTCTACCTGTCACGACTGTGTAGCTTCGGGTACTTACTTTACACCTGGAACCAGAGTTTGCTTCTGTGTGAAGAAAGCGGATGGTAAAGTTGGCCTCACGGGTTTAGCAGAAACCAAACTGCTTGTGAACCCTAACTAGATATGGAGCTAGTGCAAATAAATGTTTCTGTGATGGATGGGATTGTGTTCCCCCCACCCAAATATATGTTGAAATCAAACGTGACCCTGTTTGGACATGGAGATTTCTTTTGTTAGATTTAAAGCGGTCCTCTCAGAGTCCTGTGGGATAAGGCACTGGACTGCAAGGTCAGTTTGATCCACAAGATTGGTGCTTCACACTCCCCAGAAACTCCTCGGAAACCCTATCCAGCGTCACTGTGAGCCACAGCCAATTAGATGGCACTTAACAACGACAACAGCGGAGTCCAGGTGCGACACTGTAGGATAAGCACTGGACTGCCTGCAGCAAGGTCAGTGGTTCAAATCCACTCCATGGGAACCCCACTCAGGGTTGTTATGAGTTGGAACTGACTTGATGGCACACACCAATAACAGGGTTCAGTGGGTCCTGAACCAAATCCCTTCAGAGTTGTAAAAAGAATCGAGTAGACACAGAGACACACACTGAGGAATGTTGCAAGGAGGCAGCTACAGACAACAGCTACACCGGCAAGCCCAAGACCCTCAAAGGTTACTGGCAGCCCCTAGAAGCTAAAGTAGACCTGGAAAGACCTCTGCCTAAAGCTGCATCCTGGAGTTTGGACTTCCAGTTGCCTAATTGGACACTGTGGTGGTTAAGGTTTCATGTCAACTGGGTGGGGCCAAGCTTCTCCATGGTGTGGCAGGTGAGATGTAGTTCTCCCCGACAAGATCTAATCCCCCTGCTTGTAATCAACTCTAGGATGAGGCCAGCTCTGAGCAGCCAATCAACTGAAGGGAAGCTTCCTTGGGGGTGTGGCCTGTTTCCAGTATATTGGACACGCAGGCAAGGCTTGCTGGCTCTCTGCTGTGTGTGGGTCTTGAATCTCACTTGGATTCCATTCCAGCCTCTGGTTCTTTGGACTGGAGCCAGTGGCCTGCTCTATTACACCTGCCAGTCCTGGGAGTCATCAGCAACCTGCTTGCTTGTCTGCCTGCCTGCTGTCTGCCCTGCCAGTCTTGGTTCATCTGACCCTGACTTGGGATTCTCCCACTGCTACAACTGTGTGAGCCGTTTCCTTGACAGAAACCTCTCTTTATATAGGCATCTTTCACTTCACTGGTTTTGTTTCTCTAGAGAACCCAGCCTAATATGGAAAGAAAATAAATTTCTATTTTTTAAAAGTTACTCATTTGTTGGCTTCACTGGGTGCCAAGCCAGTTCCTTTTCTCCTTTTCCTATTTTTTATATTTGCCCAAAGTTCAATATTAGTTTGTAGACACATGCAAACCCAGCTTGACTCCTTACAGAAGCAGACCACCACAGCGGCTGGTGGGCTGACACCACCTTCTAGTTAGCAGCCAAGCATGTTGGTCTCCCTCCACTGGGTTAGTCTTCTAACAAGTAGAATTTACTCCTCCAGGGTTTGGATGAGCAGGTTTTAGTCCTTTTGTACCACCGTCACCTGGCTTCTACTGTTATTAGTCAATGAATGCTTAGCTGAAGTCAGCATGAGCCCAGTTCACACTAGATCCATTTAGTCCACAGTATAAATAAAATACTTCCCATGCTCTATTTGATTAAGAACTTGTCTGGAGTGGAGCTCCAGAGTTTGTTTTTTTTATGTAAGCATCTCAGTGGTTCGGATACAAGTGGTCTCAGCACCACACTTGGACACCGAGAGACTTCAACAATGGTCAAAGAGAGTCTTAACAAAACACTGTCAGGGTGGCTGTGCACATGCCCAAGATGTGTTCTGTGGGAAGTGACACCAGACGTTTCCCACTGCACAGAAAGCATGTCTCATTATTATAGACCACCCGTGCCACTAGATAAGCAAACAACAACAACAACAACAACAAACTGTGGAGAGGGTGGGAGAGCATCAGGATCCAGGACTGTTACAATAAATTATCTAAAACGTCCAGTTTGCAGTAAAAACTATAAGACGGGCAAAGAAGCAGGAAAGTGAGGCTCAATAAAGCAACAGAAATTGTCTATGGGATAGCCCAGATGTTAAGATTCAGCAGCAGAAGATTTAAAAATAGTGATGCTAAGTATATATTCAAAGAGCTAAAGAAAACTGTGCTTAAAGAAGTGACGTTGGATGGCAATGTCTTGTTAGATGTTGTTGTTGTTGTAAAGTGCCGTCGAGTTGGTTCCGACCCATAGCGACCCTGTATAGGGTTTCCAAGGAACAGCTGGTGAGCTTGAACCACCGACCTTGCAGTTCAAACGGCTTTGCAGTCTGGTGCATTAACCTAAAGTGCCACACCAGGACTCCTTGTTAGATGATAACTAATTTAAAAAAAAGAACCAAATTCAAGTTCTGAAGGTGACAACTGAAATAATTGAAATGAAAACTTAGCTTGAGGAGCTTAATGGTAGATACCAACTGCAGAAGAAAGAATCAATTAGCTTGATGATGGGCAAATTACAATGCAATCCAAAAACCACAGAGAAAAAATAATGAAGGGAAATGAAGAGACTCTCAGAGAAACCTGTAACAATAAATGTATCAATGTATCAAAGATGGAGTACCGAGGAGTAGGGAGAAAGAGTAGAACAAATATTGGAAGAGAATAGGACTGGAAGGGTCTAAAATTTATTTTATAAAAATTAATC